CAACTGCTATAAGAGTATAATATAAGGTTTTACGGCGCTCGCAACTGCTAAGGTCATATGAGCGCCTGCTATAAGAGAGCATTTTCAGTTTCCTATACATCATATGTGAGGCAGCGTGGTAAAATCAGGCGGTTGTCAAAATGCAGCAATTTATAAGAGAAATTGGCATTTTTCCGCCTGTTTGGACATTTTTATTGAATTTTATTTTTCGGCTCAACCTCTTTTATATATATCCATATAAAAAACACATTTTCATGTGAATTTTACAGAAAAACAAAGTGGGTCATTTTTCTGTTTTCAAGGACTCTTTAGCTATTTGGAGTTACCAAACTTTGGTGGGCATTTTCTCGCTAATTTCCCCACAGAAACCAGGCGACCTCATTTCCTTCCATCACAATTATCTTGAGTTCTATTCAAGATAGATATAGATATTTATTTCATTGATGGGAGCAAGGCAAATAAATCAGCTCTCAGATGATACTAATAACTCCACATGCCCAAAACTTGATGAGCGCCTGATTCCACCACGTCCTGACACATATGTTACATAACACACACACACACACACACACACACACACACACACACACACACGTGTTTGACATAAATAAGCTTTAGACCGGTGTAGCATTTGACCCAGAGATTACAAAAAAGAAGGAAGCAACAAAGTTAGAGAGACAATGAAACATCAAAGTAAATATCACAGGTGGACAGCTGAGCATCTTCCTCAAGTGCCACACAAAGTTAATTAAGAGAGTAAACTTGTTTTTATACACAATGTACTACACCCACCAGCACCATAACATTAACAGTAGGGGCTATACCTCCCACAGTTAGGTAACACAGCATAGCTTGGGTAAAATGTGAAGTGGGTCTATTTGTTACCCCCCCCTTCCCCCCCCCCCCCTCAGCCCAGTGGAAATAGGGAAAGGGGAAGAGGAAGGGTAATAGAATTCTAGAACTACGACAAGAACTCATACATTCTGGAATGTCTCTGTCCATTCTTTTTCTTAAACTGCAATCCATTCTGTGTAGGATGGCTACCCATTGTTGAGGAGAGAAGTGGTTGTCTTAGACAGGTGAAAGTCATACATGGTCATTATAATGTAAAAAACAAAAAACATGCAAAGGGGAGAGGCTGGAAGTGGTCGTTCGATCAGGTGATATTCTTATAAAGAAGGTTGTTACGTCAGGTTCTGCTGTATTTTTTAAAAGTTGGAGAGTAACTTCTGAGTCGACGGAGCAGAACCATAAAGCATAGCTGAAATTGAAGATCATGGTATATAAGTGTACAGCAAGGCAGCAGAGAAATGCTTACATTTCACAACAATGATTGAACAGCTGAAAAAATGTTCTAGTTTAATTTGAACGAATAGATCTTTGTCTGTTTTGTCTAGCTGTACGTTGTCAGGGAAGCTGTCTCTAACGTTTGCTTCTACCAACTGTGAAACTGCTAAAAGTTGACACAGGGATTCTATCTCAAAGTTCTTCCAAAAAAACCCATTTTTGTGATAGGCTCATCCTCTGATGGATGCCAAAGTGAAGCTCCTATATCCACTAAAATCATGACAAGGTGGCTGCCAAAGAGGCAGATAAATTTTTCAGAGGGAGTTGGGAGGTTAACTATCTTCTAAGGGTGTAGGATGTGATTAGAGACATTCAAATATTAATATTGCCACCACATGTGTAGATCATTTTGCTCCTACTGCAGAAAAATCAACACTGCCTTCTGTTACTTGCAACTACATCTTTTCTGTACTTCAAATCCCTGAGATTCGCACACAAGCAATCATATCAGTTTTTTTTTAAAACAATGAAAAGATTATACATGACATTCAATTACTCGCCGGTTTCTTTGTGATATATGATGAAATAACCATACATAAACTATACTACAAGTACAATTGGGTACAGATACCACAAACACGGAAAACTCAAAATCACAGATATCTCGTACAATTTGACATTCCCTGACTCATATCTCCTTAGTATTTCGTTACACGGTTTCTCTACATTATGGATGTGTAGATGACATTTGCCAATCTTCGACGTGTTTGAGTTATCTGTGCTCAAGTGTAAAGTATACACTGACCTTCACCACATACTACATCAAAGTCTTTTGATGCGATATAAACTCAGCCAGAAATTGAAGTAGTTATAGGTACATATTACACAGAAGAACATCAACACACCAATGGTTATTTAGTATTGACGGATAGAGACAGAAGAAAAAGAAATAGGAAAGAAATTGAACCTACCAGCAGTGCACTCTACCCGCTCCGGCCTTCAGGAGTTTTTAAAAGGGGGACGGAGTACCTCCGAATTTAACATCCATCTCATTGAGCCAAATGAGTTGAGAGTCTTGAAAATGCCACAAAACGACCTGAGTTCAAGAATGCCCAGTCTGGGACTTGAATCAGGGCCATCTGCTCCGTAGTGCAGCATGATACCAACTGACCTAATAGAGCGCCCTTCCTTTAGAATCACCTTCAATTGTCATTCATTTAGTTGAAGAATACAGAAAACCAGTATAATGGAGACCACAATTTTCCTGGAAACAGACAAAATATTGTGAAAAAAGTTGCAGGAACAGACCACACCAGAACCAAAACTTAAAAATGTTGTCTCGAAATGTCATTAATTTGAACATTTTCAAAGACTTAAACATACTGACATATTCTTCACATTAGACAGAAAATTACCTAATAACATATGTATTTAACAACATAACACAACAGCAAAGACCTAGGATGTTATGATAATATTAATTTTTCTCAGTAAACCTGAATGTCTAGAAAAGATCATAATGCAGCTAAAATATTCTTTTCAACATGAACACATTAGCCAAACTCTTTTTCTTTTTGCGTACACATATCTTGTCCGTGCCCACAGTGAATGTCTATGTCTATATCCACACACATGACTGACCTGTTTACACATTTTTTAGCATTCTGAATTATAGCGAAGCAATACGAAATGTTGAAGGCACATGATTAGAGTCTTTTCTACAGCAATTCACAGAATCCCAAGACGGCCACATCTTTCAAACAAAAAGAAAATCTATTCACAGAGAATTCTAATCATTTTGAATACCTCCTTTACTCTTTGATGAAACTTTAACTTTTCATATCAGCAAATTTTCACAGATCTGAGACATAGGACATGTTCTACAAATTTATTCCATGACGGCTCAGAAAATGTCTTTTGCAGCCAAGTATGCACTGAACATACTACATGCAAGTATATACCTGGGCTGTCCAAAAAATAAGAGGAAAATTACCACAGCAAGAACAATAATTTTTTCTGCATCTGAATAAAACTTGCACATAACTCAATAACATAATTCACAGATGTTCCAGGGAACAAAAATTCTTTTTAGCAACAACAAGCTGGATGTATTGACTTAAGAACACCATTTACAAGTTGCAAAAAGAGCAATTATTTTGAAAGATAAATCTATTTTACTGACTTTTCTGACAGCCTTCGTATATATTTACATCTGGAGAGTCCACTGTGAAAGCGTTGCTTTACTTGTATTTTTCAACCCTTATAAAGACCCTTTCGCAAGCTGACACGTGAGCTTTGACAAATCCAGACCTCTGGAAAGATGGTAATAAATCTGTCTCTCTGGGCACATAAAAAGTCATGGACAAAGTAAAAGGAGGATCATACAGAGTCTTCTTTTTAATTATCCAAAAATATAATAAACTAAAAAAATGAATGTAGAAACCAAATCTTGACAAGAGATGGCCAGTCATTGCAAATGTTCACAGCTCGAAGCAAAGATACTGTGTAGTCCCATGTGTCCAAGGATTATCACAGAAAAATACAGAATATATAATGAATTCAAAGCATGATGGACAGCAACTTTATGAATACACTTATGCTGTTAGCAGATGAGAGGGTCATTGTATTATCCTAAAAGGAAATGGGATTGGTCATCACATATGAGTTTGATAGTCAAAACCCAGTTGGAGAACAGTGGACATAAAAGACCGGTTGTGAAAATTTCAACACTTATACCCAAATACTGTTAGCAAATGCAAAAATATTCAATATAATGAACAGCTGGGCTAAAACACTATACTTGGATCCACATAACACCAAGATGGAATGAGAAATTGAGATAATAGAGACCATCCTTGGTATTCATTTTTTCCTCTCTTTATAAACAAGAGAAATAATGGAAGAATGAGACTCTCACCAAAAAATATTGGTAATAGCGAGAGAATTGTAATTCAATGACACTTGAAAAATAGGTAATGAACACATCGTGACCCATTCATCAAACCATACCAAATCCTTCATTTGTTTGCTGGAATGATGTGTAAGCAACTATTGTAGTGTGTTCAAGCACTGTGACTCTTCTTTTCTTACCTAACAAATCAAACAGCCCATCAATAAATACAGAAACAATCTCCAACTCATGCACACACACTCCCATTTCACTGCATTTTACTCTCCACCTGCATTATGTTGAGAGACGAAAGCTCGAGCTTGCCCACTGTTATCGTATGAAAACACATGCTACGTAGGCAGTGAAGGTGGGTACGGTGAGTAGTGGGCTCATGCAGCCTCACATTATGGCAGATTTTAGCTGGAGCTTGGATAATAGTCTGGTCATCAGCTGCTGATCAATAAATGCATTTTACATGTTTTAAGTGAAGGTCAGTGTTCTCAATCACATTTTAATAGGGCAACTATACTATATATGAAAAAGAAAGGACAACAGGCTTGAGATCAAAGTGTCTCTAATTGAGACAGCTGATTGAAAAAATATCACCCAGCAGACAATTTCATCAAATTTTCTTTAGATACGGAGTGATACATTTGAGGGCAGCCAGGTTTTCTCTTGGGCAGTGGGGGTGGGGGGGGGGGGGGGGGGGCAAAAAACATTCGTTTTGGCACAATTTGATAAAGTCCTCTACGTTCAAGCATGAAACACATTTCATTTTGGTGTTTAATGAAAACAACCAATAAAAAAAAACTACAACACAATACAATGATTAGAACTTTTATTTGCGTTTCGAAGGTGATAGGTCCCAATAAATTTTGGGTCAAATTTAATTAAGCAAAGTAGAAGTCAATTTGATATAATGTGCCCTGGCCAGCTCTATCCCTCAAATGGATCAAACCAGATCAAATAAGGATTTGGCTAAATTTTTTGCCGCCTACACCGGAAATGGTAATAGAAAAATGCTCAAATTATTGAAAAGTGGAAATCTTTCTGTAATGTGTACAGGGTAACGGACAAATGCTCAAATTATTCAAATATGGAAATGTTCTATCTGCAGTCTAGGCACATGCTATTTCCTCAGAGAGGCATCCCTTTTCGACTCCAGCAATAGCAAGACATGGCTATAACAAGATATTCTGCTGTGACTGTTAACTTTCGCTTTTGTAATTTGACTTTGACTGTGTCTATAATTGTTGTGGATGATATTTTGTTGATGCCAATACATACTCTTGTTCTGTCTCGGTCTGTTAGACATCCTGAGAGGCCCATCCACTTTGTGACCATGTAAGCACACTAACCAGTGAAAATTTCATTAACTGGCTTAGTGTTACATCAAAGAAGAACTGAGCAAATGTTCACTAAGACAACAGTAGTAAGGCTAATGCATACCAGAAAAGAGGGTACAAGCTGTATATCTGAAAAAAAAAATTTCTCTCTGAGTGAGACAGAAAATGTAAAATACTACAATAGAACACTTTTTCCGCATTAAAAAAAACACCATTATTTCAACCGTTAACACAGTCTCTCATTTAAAGTTTCAAAGAACGAATTAACTTCATAATTTCAAAGATCAAAACGGGGAGATAATGCTTTTGTGAGCAGCAGTCTCCTCAACGATCGGCTCTTCTCGCATAGCATCACTGATAGTGCCCCGGTCTACCATTTCAAGGATAGCCTTGTCTTCCGAACTCATCTTGTCCAGGATGCTTTTCTCGCCGCCCTAAAAGAGAAAAAGAAAAAGAAATATAATTAACTGTTTCAACATCTCTTTTGTTGTTGTTATCACGGTTAGCCCAAGGTGCACAAGCCTTATACAGTACTGAGAGAAATTTCCAGGACTGGTATACCAGTCATATTATTTATGTGTTCAAAGGGTTAAGGAGTAAAACAGGTTAAAGTACCCTTTCCTCAGACAAAAACTATCAAAATTCGTACTGAAATGTTTATTATAAGATCAGTTTTTCAATTTCAGGGACATAATTTCACACAAAAGTAACAAACACACACAGAAGGACGTGGTCATTATTAAGAGAAAGCTTATACTTTCTGTGAAAACTCTATGAACAATCATACGTCTTCATGATATCAGTTTTCAAGGAGAGGGTTGACCTTTAAATTGCTGAGGGGAAATGGGTTGGGTCAAACCAGGAGAAACTGTTGGTACAACCATTCAAACAAAATGAAATAACCTCCTGGACAAAAAGATATGGGCTAACCTTAGCGTTGTCAGCAGTGTCTTCTTCCTCATCCTCATCCTCCTCCCCATCTTTCCGCTTCTCTTTTCCTATGGCCCAGACCTCAAGGCAATCCACTTGAAATTCAGCATCGCCAGAAAGTTGAGGGCTACCGTATGTCGTACAACCTTTAGCGCCAGCTTTACTGTGACCAATGTCAAATTCCTGGTCTATCCATAAGCCAAAATACTCCAACTGTCCTCCCATGCCCTATGAACGAGAAGAACATAAGAAGATGAACACAAACAACTAGATAGAATGATTAAGACAATATGACAGATGGAAGGGAAAGAATGACAGATTAACTCACTGAAGACGTTTCCCATTAAAAACACAGGATGGACCATCAGTTCTGTGAGAGGTTTCCTGTGGAATCGCCATTATCGCTATATTATTAAATAGCGTCTAAATAAAAGCCACTAAAAGCATAGGATCCTTCTTAGACAAATGCGAAGCCGTTTGTTTCTTTCCACAAAACATTATCAGGAAGTCGGTCGTTCACTTTTTGATCTAGAGGATTTTTAGTTGGGTGATCGGTAAGACTGCTTGTGTTGTAAATTGCAGTGAGCGTCATTTATTTTCTTATTCATAAATCTTTTTAACATTGAATTTTATACCTTTAAAAAAAAAATCCTGACAACTTGTACTTTTGTACGTTTATCGTTCTTGTGTTGTTCTTTATTGCGTCAAAAGGGCATTGCAGTTGGTTGAAAGGTTCAGATTTTATATACACTTTTTAAAAAAAATCAAAATCTTCAGTCTTCAGTGCTTGTACACTAGTAAAATCCTTCAGTCTTCAGTGAGGTAAAAACTAAAAGGAGAATGTGGGCTCGAGCTGTTGTTATTGAGCTATCACTGAATATCACTCTTTAAAACAAAACAAAAAAGGGCCTGGAAAAGACAAAGATGTGCATTTTCAATATGCCTATGAGTATTTATATACACTTGTCTGCATGTGTGTGTGAGAGAATTTACACACATGTGTGTGAACGTGCACACCTGTGCACATGCATGTGTAGGTGTGTTCTTGTATGTGTTTGGAGGGGGAGAATAAGTTTAAGTGTGCGACAAGTTAATCTGACAAGCATAAAAAGTTACCTTCTTAGATTCAAACTCAAAGTCAAATAGAGGGATATTGAGCTGAGTGAGAAACAAGTAGAAGTTTACAACAACTCAGCACAATGGCCACGTTTTACCAGAAGCAGACTGGGATATCAGTAAAAACGTATTGAAGTGGAAAGAGCAGACGATATGACGATGCCTATCAACCATCATGAGAGGGATACGTAGATGGAAGAATGGGAGCAGTTGAGAAAGAAATAAGGGCAAAATGTCTACTCTTAAGCCTGCTGATGTTAGATCTACTTTAGCAGGTCACTGAGCAAGCAACTCTGTAATGTATAACGCATTCATCTCTGCAGTTCATTGAACGGAGAGTTCTGGGAGAGTGTGTCAGTAGTGTATCTCTACACTTTCAGACTTAGCTAAAGAAGTTTGGGACAAAGGAATTTTACAAATTTTATGTGCATAAACCTTCCTAAACTTGTTATAACACATTTAATAATAACTTTCATTGAAAATTCTAGTTTAACTCACTCAGCCCTGAGCCCAAGATAGTCGGGTTGTGCACTTCTTTGCTGAGCCCTGAACCCGACAGCATCAGAATGAAAATTGCTACTGCTTCATAACGTAAACACAAATCAAATAAGAACAGACTATATTTTATAAGTGACTCCTGGCTATTTCTTTATAAGAAACAGATTTTTACAAGCGAAAATGTTGCTTTCTTGACCTACAATTGAAAATAACTTAGCACGTAGTAACTAAGCGGGAAATGAGAACGAGTCTTAGTCTTTCATTCGAACTACTTTTTATTTTTCAAATGGCAATATCTCACAGACTATCAACTATTTTCAGATTCTGTAAAAGGCACTAGTCCATGTAATGACTAAAAAAATTGTGAGTGACATATTGCTGCGATTGAAGTTGATTTAGTATTTTTTTCCGACTTTACACTTTACACTAGGCGCAGCCAGTAAACCGGGTCCTTGGCCCTAGGGTTCAGCACATTAAAGTTTTCCCCGTAAAAAGAATCAACATTGGTTGAAGAAGTTGATCTACTTCGTCCTTTGCCTTTGCACTGTCAGTCCCTTGGTACGGCTGCCGATCCATGCGGTCTAATATTTACCCAGTGGCTCTACCCCTGTCCCGTTTGTATCAGGAGAGATAAGGTCAAGGCTACTTTGGCAAACTGGCCCTAGAAAGAAACATAAAGAAGTCAAACTAAAGACAAAGGAAAAAAAGGTCAAGACTCACCAAACCATTTGGCAGTGTCTGTACACGGTGGTTTAAATACATAAAGTTTTCATTGTAACCAGTGGGCCGGTATATACTGTAGTCAGGGCAGGCTTTGAACAGGAAACAAGAAGAGTCACCTGTAACAGAGAAAAATATAATTCTATGATCTATCAGAAGTCTTTAAAGATAAATTCTACAACACTGATACATTCCCTGAAAGAAAATAGACAGACGATATTTCATTTGCATATATAAAATGATCCAATACACAAATACTTTTTCCATTGAATTTCGAAGGCCTGCAAGATGATAAAATGTACAAACACATTTTAAAATACAGCACAGTCAAATTAAGCATTAAAAGATTCAATAATCTCAGCATCACTATGAAACCTGTTCAGTAGCTTGAAACTGGGTAGAAACTAAGTACAATGCACATTATTTATCTGTTTCAGTTAAAAAAAACAAAAAAACGCACATCAACAAAAACACAAGTCATTTAGAGAAGAGACAGATTAAGACAGACAGAGAAATAACAGTGGGAGAGAAAAGAAGCAGAATCTCCAACAACTGGCTTTTATATCTGCATTTGTTCCAATTATCTACAACAAGAAAGTGCATGATGAATGATGAGTGAGAAAAGCATGCTTATCCGTTGGATTACATCTATCTACACAATTTTTTCCATAAAATCAGAATGCAGTCTTATTTGGAGAATACATAAAAGATACTACAGTGAAAGGTTAAAGAAAACCTATGACAACTTTGATGATAAGTGTGTGGGTCTGAAGCTACACTTGTCACACGCTATGTGTTTGGTAAAGCACAAGTTATAGAGGGCCCTACTAGGCACTTCATTCAAAGAAAATACAGAGTAAAAATGATTAGTCCCTAGTTACTCCTGACTCTTGGAATACAACCTACCAGTAAATTTCGGGTTGATTTCCCAGGGAATTGAAGCAAATCCCCCAAACACATTGCCATTTTTATCTTTCACAATCAAATATGTTGGCCCCTTGCCGCGTACTCGCTGCAATAGCTGTGAGAAGCTAGCTCCATGCAGCGTGCTGTTGAACAGTAGTTTCCACTGAGTTTGCAGTAGAGGGGGGACGGAGAAGTTGAGAAAGAGCACTGTAGGGAAGTCCAGCACCGTGCGGCACTGTGACCAGTTGGTGTCCCGCACGTGAGGCACTTTGGGGGCAAACACCATCTCCTGCGGCTCCACATGCTGAAGTACAGTAGGCAAAAATTAAAGAAACGATGATACAACATAAAGTTTTGTTTTCGTTTTAGTAAGAGTTTTATAACACATCCAACACAATAAGGTCATAAAAGTGCTGAAGTTTAGAGGCGTTACGAGAGAGCAACAAATACATAAAAGAAGGAGGGCAGATCAGGACGATAAATGTTTGATATGAAAGAAGTTGTAAACCACATAGGAGCACCTGTTAACCACCCGCCTATACAAAATGAAATAAGATACAAGGATACAAGAAGATAAAATAAGAGCAGATAAGTTGAAATTATTTGCCCTCCTCAGAGAGAAATTCATTGAGATTTCACTAGATTCTGCTAAATAAATTTGTACACACAGCACTTCATACAAAATTTTATATACACACATAAGTACACAATATGTAAATAGACAAATGCTATGCCATTATCCTCACAAATAAATGTACCCAAAAACAAATATAGCTTTTTAATAGTGTCAGAGTACCCAACAAACTCAGAGGGTAACCGAAACTACAGTTAAAGGCCAACAAAAGAAAATGTTGAGGATGAGCAGTCATAGTAGTTTGTGGTTCCGTGATGTAGCTGTTGCTATTTATCCAAGTGCAATCATAGAAAAATAAGGCTTGTACCATGACCAGCTAACCTAAAGAGCAACAGAAAAGTGCAAAAATAGCTTCACCTTTGGGAAGGGATTTTTTACAAAACTGGGACTCCTTACACTTTAAAATGCTTAGGTATCTTTATTAAGTGGACCAAGAAGGTGATGTGCCGTGGTTGATGGTGAGGTGAAATTTGACAAAGGAGAAGTGTTGAGGACCCTGGAGAAAAGTTGCAGGATGAAAAAAAAAGGGAGATAGCAGAACACCACGCAATCATTAGGATGCGGGAAATGGGGATAGAGAGGGGAGAAGGAAGAAAGGAACGACTACCTGGAAAGGAAAGACGTCGCCATAATCAGACAGCCACTGGAACAATCAGTATGGATACCTTGCGGGCTTTGGTGCTGGGGGGAACTGTGCACTTATGGACCTGTCCGGTGTGCAATGACGTTGTTGCCCAGGACAGGTAATACAGGTAATACAGAAGGTGATGTGGAGGAGACTGAAGCAAATGCTCCATCTTTACAACCCAGAGTATTTAAAGGAAACTGCACTAAAGCCCTAAGTACTTATGGAGTGCCTATTTGTGAGAGCATGTCAGAACTTTGAATGCATAATGCAATCTGTATGATTTGTATATGTCTAGCTTATTTATGCTATAGTGAGACAAGTGTTCTAACAAAGGACAAATAAAATACTTTTTAAAAATTCATTTATAAGGGAGGAAAACTATGGCGGCTGAGGCAACACTCACATAAAACTGGAATGCTCCATCAAACACTTGACGTAAGACTTGTGTGAAGAGGGAACTGCGAGACAGCCATTGCTCTATATCAGACACATCAAACATTTTGGAGGTTTCCTCTTTTTCGCCAGTCCCGCTCACAGATCTGCCATCTTTAACACAAAACACAAACGTTTGACTTAAACAGATATTGAAAGATGAAAGGTAAAATAAAAATTATTTAATGCACACATAAATAGCACTTCAAATATCAAAGTTCTGCAGTCAGACTCATGTCATTATTCATTATGAAATAAATTGATTTAAATGGTCTTGGGCCATAAAGAGGGAAAGCTTCGGGGTTTAGGTTTAAGTAAAGTGAACTCATAAATAACACAGGAAAAGGCCAAGTCAGAGATCAGAGTAAGAAACGAAAACAACAAACTGCTTAAGACTTCTAAGGAAGGACCAAGAAGCTCCAAATAATGTGTAAGTGTAGATTTACAATAGAAGCACAGAAATGTGCCAAAACAGTTCTCTAATTCCACTAAACTACAAAAGTAAAAATGAGAGGCAGCGTGGTGGAATCAGGCTCTCGTCAAAATAATCAAAGTGAAGAAACTTGCATTTTTCCGCAGGTTTGTGAATTTTTATCAAATTTTTGTTTTTTGGCTCAACACCTTTCATACCCATTAAAGAACTCATTTCTGTGTGGATTTTTCAGAAAAACATTGATTAAAGGCACAAAAAATGTAAATTTTCAGTTACCACTGACTCTTAAGCTATGGAAATAACTAATCTATGGTGGCCATTTTCTCACTAATTTTACCTCTAAAAACGGGTAACCCCCACAAATTCATTCACAAATATCTCACCTTGTATTCAAGATAAATGGATATTTTTTTCAACCAAATAAAGAAAAGTGAACAAGCTTTAAGATTATACCAATAACTCTACATGCCCAAAATTTGACGAGAGCCTGATTCCACCACGCTGCCTTATAAATGTAGAATCAATAGGTTTCTGTCTTTATGCTTGAACATTGTTTTACACAGAGTTTGTCTATTCTTGACAGTTGCTATTGACATATATGATACATTTCTTTCAATCATCAGTAAAATGCAACATACAAAAGGAGACAAACATGAAAAGACTGATCAATAAATACAAAAAGTGAACTAACAAATCTCTAAATACGAACATTCCACTTAAACACATTAAAAATGTTAAATGAAAAAAAGTGGAAGGTAAGAGTCATTCTAAAGGAAGCATACTCATGATTGTGAGAGCTACATACTACTAAATAAGAGTAGGCTCAGCCGCCACACAAGCAAAATTCAAAATTTCCTGCCAATTGAAAATGTTTGGTGTGTCCGGCATGCTCATATGACTTTATGCAGTTGCGAGTGCCATAAAACACACACAAAAAAAAAAAGACTACCAAAAAATATGATACAAAAGAGTTTCTTCAAAGTTCATACGCAAGTACATTTGTTATGCCACTGATGTGAGTACCTGAATGCAGAAGATCTTTCAACAATGAGTTGGCAAGATTGTCATGAGAACCTTTGGATGCAGCGAACATCCAGCTCTGGTATGCAGTGCAGTGGGCATGGAGCACTCGCTCATAGCTGGTAAGCACATTCGTCACCAACTGAAAAGTTTGTTGTAAACCAAATATTTGGTTTTGAAAGCAAAGACAAACACTGTCAAAATATATATTATAATCAGTGGATTTGAACAATAGCCTAACTGCAGTGTATATTAATTGACAAGCAAGAAAGGAAGATCAGAAATGCTTGGCCTTGTATATACTCTATTCCAAGTTTTTAATAATATGTGCTGCCATCCTTTGAAAATTAAAAAAAAAGCAAAAACCTTATTCATCAGCCTCAGACAGATGCCTCAACAGCACAGAATGAGGTTCGAGGGAGGCTGTAGCTGTTATTTGATGGCTTTCCATAAGACACTCCCTTTAAAATAGGGACAGTTGGTCGCTTCAAAAAATTCGAGTGACATACTGTATAGTATCCAAGCTTACATTGGGATGGGCTCCTCAAGATTTTAATTTTTGGATTTTGTTATACAGTATAGCACGGATACTTACCTTGACAAGATTTGGGCCTGAAACTGAATCAGGTGTGGTTGAAGCCAGAAATATACATGAATGAGCTAGATCAGTGATGTTTCCCTTTAGCAGTAAGCCCAGATGTGATGCAAAATGTTGCAGTTGTATCTCATGGCCACGGTGCTGATGATGTGCGTGGCGTCGTTGGTGATGCTGTTGTCGATGAGGCGGCAATGGTCCCTCTATCAAGTCATACATGCGACTACTGGTGAATGTGTCCAACACAGTACTTGTAAAATGCTGAAAAAAGAGGCAGGAACGCCAGTTGGGACTCAGGGTCAAGGGGAATGCTAAAGTCTGAGTCAGAGTCTCAGATGCATTGGGAAAGTAAGTTATCTTTGAGGAAGAAACAATTTCAGTTCCCCTACATTCACTGTCCACTAAAAAAAATGAGACATGATCTCACAAGAAAAATAAACAATGCAAAGCAAACTATCTTTATTAATCCAAGTAAATCTAGACCACAATTCCCTGATAATAAGTTTAGATATGTATCACTATGAAACAGAAAATGGCTCATCTAAAATAGCAGTATGTGAAAGAAATCACAATCCTGATTTTTTATTTCTTCCCTGTCTCGTTAAAAAAACGACAACTATCATTTAAGTAGTCAAAATGCTCTTCAATATTTCTAAACGGAAAAGAATTTTGAGAGTCATGTCTAATTCTTCACACTAGAAACTCTTCAAATAAACAAAATATTACGTCTTAAATGTTTCAAGACAGCAAAACAGAAGAAAGAGACAAGAATGCAAATACATATATATATATATATATATATATATATATATATATATATATATATATATATATATATATATATATATATATATATATGTCAATTGCAGCCAAAGAAAGGCATCACCAATGTACTATTTGCCTCTGTGTTTATAACATATATAGAAATATTCTCCTCTGCAGATGTATTGATCATCGCCAGACATTGATGAATAATATAATAACACACATCCACAGGCCTCCACTCCATGAATAGTTACACTTAGATAGTAGAGATGTCTGTCGTGTTACCTCCTTTTCAAGGCCATTGTCTCTGCAAAGCTAGTTAACCTAATACAAAAAAGAGCACGAGCACTGCAAGTGACGTGTCTCACGAGGTCACTGCCATTGGGCCTATTCACTTCTCCAGCACAGTATAGACAATGCTGATCTACTCTTGCATGATTCACAGGCTGCTCAAAGGATAGTCGTGTGGACAGCATTGTCATTGAAGCAGGCATTTTACAACTAAGGCATCTAGAGCTGATGCCTTACCGCTATTTCACTCGAGAAGTCCATGCGTCTCCCCACAACGAACCAGCGCAGAGCCTCCACAACAAAATCGGTGCCCATGCGGACAGGCAAGTCGAGCTGGAGAAAGCATGCGCAAAACCTTGTAGCTGAAACTGTAGTGGGTAAGTAACCATGTGAAGAGCTGCATCATGCAACCTAACCTTTTCGTGCCGATCTCGTCGACAACTGGAAGCATGCTGATAAACTAGAGTCAGGAAAGCAGCAGCAGAGGCTATCATTCAATCATTTCCCCTGACTGATGAAGAAGTCTAGACTGACGGTTCAGCTGAAGACGGTGGTACTGAGTACGGATACAGCGGAATACTCATCAAGACTGCTGATACCAAATTTGATAATCGTGTACCCTCAGGGCCAGTATTCTTTCAGTCACAGAGCCGAGCTTGTAGCTCTCGACACAGTGCTGGGTATGCTAACACTACATACACCAGGCAATCTTTCGAGCAGGGTGATATAATGATTCTCATATGGCCCCGTCAACCAATCGGAAAAGGTGGCATGCTCAATCTGTCAGCATCTGCACACCCGCTGTCAATGCTTCAAACGGTCCATCCACTTACAGTGGATTCCGGGCCACGCTGGACTAGTTCAGAATGAGGAAGCTGACAGCATCTCTAAAAAACAGAAGTAGCAGCGCTTACCCAGATTGACACGCCAATCAATTTCTCAACAGCTTAAAGCCGTCATCCACAAGTCAACCCACACAAAATGTAAAGAGAGGTGAAACCAAAACTGTCATTTGTCCAGCCGCCATCATACCAGTCTTGAGGTCTCACTCAGATAACAAGACTGCCAACTTATCTCCCAAAAGAGAACTGGTGGAATAACCGAAGATTCGTCCTGTTGAGCCTGCAAAGAGGAGGATGAGACATAGACAACGTATTCCTGAAATGTCCCACCAACTATCGTGCCAACACACCTCTGCTGGGACATTTCAGTGACCAGCATTCAGCACTTTTCGGGGACCCACAAGAGAGTATAGAGTTCCTGCGTACTGTCAACATTGCTGACCACTTATGAAGCCACAGTACCAGAAGAGAGAAAGAGAGATGATTCTGTGTGACTGTTCTGGTTTAGTTGATTTAGCAAGCTGGCAATGTTAAAGAGAAGGCACAAGAAAGCAACTCTGTAGCTCAAAAGCAGTTATTGAAAGAGGCAGATATTTGAGAAAAACCTTTCCAAAAATATTATCACAGGCAAGACATTCTAAACTGTACACTGTCAACCGTCAATGGTGTGAGAAAAAACACTAAAACAAAAAAAACCCAGTAAGTGTAGCAGCCCTCCTCGATGAAGATGAATTTTTTTTTTAAAAGAGCAAATAAAAAGCATGAAAGAACAATCTCTCTAAACTGAAAGTAATGACAAAAGTGAAGAGAATCCAGTGGTTCCACAGATATTGATTTCATCCCCACTGACATCACAGTTCAGTATTGGCTGGGCCTACACTTGAACTTGAAAGAAGAAGACATTTTTCGCACATCTCTTCATCTTCTCAAGAAGGACAGACTTCCGTTCACTATGCCCCACCTTTTATCTGAAAATGAGATGCAAGAGTCACTGAGAGTGTTGTGTCTGTACCAAGAACAGCTTCATTGCCTTTTTGACAATGTTCTTGAACTGTTCTGAACTGAGACGGAATTGTTAAAAATTTCTTCTAAGTATCTAGATCAAGAATCTAGTTTTAAAAACGACTTTTATTTTTTTTAAAAATGAAAGTGGCTATTCTCACCCGGGGTGAGAGGTAGTTGCATTTTTATTCTCAACCCGGGTGAGACTTGCCAGCGTTGGCTATTCCACCCAGTGTGAAACAAGACCCGTTGTTCCTAATTTCTGAATACTTCTATAGGTGTAGATGATCAAATAGACAAAAACAGAGAAAAACAAGATGTAATAGCACCAAAGTAAACTAATTTGGTCGTCTGCAAAAACGCTACGGCTATAATTTCACTTTTCTAATCGAGCTGAACTATGCCGGTCGATGGCTAGATCAGGCTACGCCTTCTCTCTCTCTCTCTCTCTCTCTCTCCCAGTAAAAAAAATTGCACGCTTTCAAAACAAGAGCGCTGGAACGTTTGTTTACATTGGTATCACGGTGAAGGCACACCTGGTGATTTAGCCAAAAGGCTTCACCCTCTGCCGCTCTGCCCCCTATAACAACTGCGCTTTAAGGCAAGGTGAGAATACAGGTGGCCTATTTATATTCATGAATTTATTTCACGGTACCCCAGCAGCGATATCCTGGTGCACTGTAAGGAACAAACAACAAAAACAAATTGAATTTCTTGAGATTCGTACCAGAAACTGTTCCTTATTGAATGATTTCTTCCCATGTGAAATTGAAGCAAAAACTGAGCTGACTCGACTCTTCTCCTCTTCGTCGAATAGTAGTTCGTGCTTCACATCCGTGCTTTTACTTTCTGACCCTCCCATATTTAGTCTAGATCTAGATCTAGATCTATACAGATATTACCGATAAAATCCTTATAATAAGTGAACTTTGTGCATGTGTTGCTTATTGAACACTTCTAAAGAAGATGACCATGACTTTGAGTAATGTTTCTGTTTATTTACAAGATAACATTATTATTTTCTGAATGAGAAGAGCTCTTGGATGTACAATCATGAACGACCTAGATCTCATGTTCTGACGTATTTTCCTGCACCAAAGGAGAAGCGCTTGCTCATCAAATAAAGGACATGATCAGTACGGTCTAGTTTAGTTTTAGGCCTAGTATGAGTTTTACGGAACTTGCTACGCAATAAGGTCATATGAGTACTGGAAAGTGCAGCCTAAAGTTAGCAAAGGGAACCTAAAGATTGGCACACCACTTGTGTATTTTTGTTTGCTCCAACCGCAGCAGCAGTGCTGTTTTGTGACATATTATTATTATATAACATTAGCTTATTAGCTAGCTAGATCTATTAAATATAAAACATCTAATAAGGAAAAAAAAAAGGATGAAAAACTCAGCTAATTTTGCCGGTAAGTTTGAAGAATATCGGACCAGCGGACTGACTTTGTCTTTGTCCCAACCTTCGAAATTCATGGTTTTTCCCAGTTTTTAATATCTCTCAATGGAGAATCTCGGACCGGTAGATCTATTCATTTACATTAAAATTTTGTCAGGGGGAGACCTCCCTGACCCCCCCCCCCACCCCCTCCTCCACTCGCCCCACCCACCCCACATTCTCGCGCAATAATGTATAGATATCTACGAATGGTCCGGTACTTTTCAATCTTCCCAACTTGCCATTCAAAAATAAATAAATAAAGGAAACCAAGAGAGAGATAAACGTAGAACTACCATCAGACGATCGTACGTAGACACAGAGTCAGAAATATGACGTTACAGAGATTCAAAAGCAAAAAGGTTATAACTGAAGAAAGAATTTAAAATTATAGGAGTTTTGATATTTGTACATGACATGTAAATGCATTGTCTACATGTTTTGCAAGGCTCCAATGAAAAGGGAGGCGAGAGAAATCTTAATGAAAAATTCGATTAGACCATCGGTAGTGTCCCTTCAAAGCTGACTGAAACAAAATATATGCGGCAAAAAAAGGAAGGTGCCCCCCAAAAAAGAAGAAAAAAGAAAAAGGGGAAAATTGTGCGGGGGAAAAACCCAAAGAGGCGAATGACGAATTAACAGACGTGACAAAATAATTACAGAGGAACACCCCCCCCCCCCCCCCCCCCAAAAAAAAAAAAAAAAAAAAAGATAAAAATAAATAAATAAATAAATGGTTTAATAAATAATTTAAAAAAAAACAAATTAAAAAAAGAAACAATAAAAAAAAAAAATCAATTAATTTTAAAAATGAAAGATAATAATAAAATAAATAAATAATTATATAAATAAATAAGATTTATTTTTCAAAGGAAAAAATAAACACGTTTTGAGGCGATTATAGAGCGATCTAAAACATGTGGCGCAACTTATAAAGCCTCAGTTCTTTAACGGGTGAATAGTGCCATCCATGCTTTGCATGTCAGTTTGTAGGCTATCAATTTGTCTTAACTTAATCATCCAAGGCAGCTGAGGCTACACTTTTCTTCGTAGATTTATACAAAATAGGGCCTACTATACATCTCTGTCACGTGGAAAATGAGATTGTTCACAGCACTTCCCGTTTCTCACTCACATTTTGCATACGAATAAGGCATAACGACGCAGCTCACCAGTGACACCTTTCAGTGGCAACACTTGCAACAAGAAATTATTTTATAATGAACTCATTGCTTGTAGGCTATTAAAGGTTCTCAAAACACGCGTTCAATAATGAGAGTGTCACGATTAGAAAACAAAACAAAGGACGGTTTTACTTTTAAAAGCGATATTGCCCAGCTGTAACCATTTTAAAATCTGTAGAAAGCATCCGCTTGGATTTTTAAACTAGTGTTTATTAAGGATTTTTCTCAAATACAGCTCACATTTGTTTAATAACATATTGATCTGTTAAGGCAAATTGATACCGATACAAGTCATTGTGCAAAAGCAGGAGAATCTACGTTCGATAGTTGAGGAAATATTTGACAATAAGTTGCGCCACGGATTTTTGACCGCAGTATAATTCAGTTAGGGGCTGTTCAAACATAACCATACACTTTTTGGAGGACTCCCCCCCCCCCTCCCCCTTCCCCTACACTTTTCTTACATTTGCCTCCCCCCCCCCCCAAAAAAAAAATTTTTTTTTTTTTAAAATAAAAAAATCCTGTAATAATATTATATTGTTCGATAATAATACTATGGCATTATGTCGCGCAGATCCGTGTTACAATCATTGCTCTATGCACTTTACACAATATTCATGAAAAACATACATGCACATAATAATATATTATCCAGTTCTACATTCACAAAAAAAAATAACCGATTAAATCATCCAAGCAAAAAATTACATACACTCTTTCTTTGATCTTACTAATAAGGAAAAAATTGACTCATGTCAATTTCAAAAGCGCCTTGATTAAAAAACAAACTAATTACAGTGGAATTTTGAAAAAGTCAACACCTCAAGACCGAAAATAAGTGTTGACTTTGAGAAAGGTTGACTTTATCCATTCCTCCACTAGCCATTGAAAATTGAAAATGACAGCTACAAAATTACAAAGTACCTGGTAACAATGTGTTAGCTCAATTTCAGTGGGTATAATTCTGAAATCGTCACCAAAACAAGAGATAATGAGTGAACAAAGAAATTGAAGGTGAGTTCACTACTAGCTCAGGCCCTAAATATCCTTTCTTTAATGAATTCATCTTGGGATTTAGCGCCAAATTGTTGACTTTGCGCAAGGTTAACACTCAAGCGGTTGACTGTATCAGAAATATAATTACTTACAATGAAGGTAAGAAACGGAACCACAGTGAAGTGTTGCCTGTAAGCAAGAGTTGACTGTGTAAGCAGTTTGACTTAATCAGGATTCCACTGTATCTTTTACTACAGTACTGATCATTATGATTAAAACAAAAAGTGAAATACGTTATTATCAATAAAGGCAGTATTCATCATTATGTCAAAAATGTTTTTTGTTTTTTTTAAAGCTGTTTTTCAAATCTGGGTCCTGTTCCTGCTCTTCTCCTCTTCTTCCACCACCTCCATCTTGGAAATCTATCCACATCCTTAGATCCTTAGTGGCCTCTGCACACTCTTTGGCCCATACATCCTGTCTTGACCCACGCCACCCTTATTTCCTTGTTATTTTTTACCTCACAAAAGACGTGTAATATTACACTGGTTCAAGATCCCCCCCCCCATAATCAGACAGCCACTGGAACAATCAGTATGGATACCTTGCGGGCTTTGGTGCTGGGGGGAACTGTGCACTTATGGACCTGTCCGGTGTGCAATGACGTTGTTGCCCAGGACAGGTAATACAGGTAATACAGAAGGTGATGTGGAGGAGACTGAAGCAAATGCTCCATCTTTACAACCCAGAGTATTTAAAGGAAACTGCACTAAAGCCCTAAGTACTTATGGAGTGCCTATTTGTGAGAGCATGTCAGAACTTTGAATGCATAATGCAATCTGTATGATTTGTATATGTCTAGCTTATTTATGCTATAGTGAGACAAGTGTTCTAACAAAGGACAAATAAAATACTTTTTAAAAATTCATTTATAAGGGAGGAAAACTATGGCGGCTGAGGCAACACTCACATAAAACTGGAATGCTCCATCAAACACTTGACGTAAGACTTGTGTGAAGAGGGAACTGCGAGACAGCCATTGCTCTATATCAGACACATCAAACATTTTGGAGGTTTCCTCTTTTTCGCCAGTCCCGCTCACAGATCTGCCATTTTTACCACAACACACGAACGTTTGACTTAAACAGATATTGAAAGATGAAAGGTAAAATAAAAATTATTTAATGCACACATAAATAGCACTTCAAATATCAAAGTTCTGCAGTCAGACTCATGTCATTATTCATTATGAAATAAATTGATTTAAATGGTCTTGGGCCATAAAGAGGGAAAGCTTCGGGGTTTAGGTTTAAGTAAAGTGAACTCATAAATAACACAGGAAAAGGCCAAGTCAGAGATCAGAGTAAGAAACGAAAACAACACTCTGTTTAAGACTTCTCAGGAAGGACCAAGAAGCTCCAAATAATGTGTAAGTGTAGATTTACAATAGAAGCACAGAAATGTGCCAAAACAGTTCTCTAATTCCACTAAACTACAAAAGTAAAAATGTGAGGCAGCGTGGTGGAATCAGGCTCTCGTCAAAATAATCAAAGTGAAGAAACTTGCATTTTTCCGCAGGTTTATGAATTTTTGTCAAATTTTTTTTTTTGGCTCAACACCTTTCATACCCATTAAAGAACTCATTTCTGTGTGAATTTTTCAGAAAAACCTTGATTAAAGGCACAAAAAATGTAAATTTTCAGTTACCACTGACTCTTAAGCTAAGGAAATAACTAATCTTTGGCTGCCATTTTCTGGCTAATTCTACCCTTGAAACCAGGCGACCCCCACCTCTTTCAATCGCAAATATCTTGACTTCTATTCAAGCTAGATGGATATTTTGTCCATTGAAAGCAAGGCAAATGAATAAGCTTTCAGATGATATCAATAACTCCACATGCCCAAAAATTGACGAGCGCCTGATGCCACCACGCTGCCTTATAAATGTAGAATCAATAGGTTTCTGTCTTTATGCTTGAACATTGTTTTACACAGAGTTTGTCTATTCTTGACAGTTGCTATTGACATATATGATACATTTCTTTCAATCATCAGTAAAATGCAACATACAAAAGGAGACAAACATGAAAAGACTGATCAATAAATACAAAAAGTGAACTAACAAATCTCTAAATACGAACATTCCACTTAAACACATTAAAAATGTTAAATGAAAAAAAGTGGAAGGTAAGAGTCATTCTAAAGGAAGCATACTCATGATTGTGAGAGCTACATACTACTAAATAAGAGTAGGCTCAGCCGCCACACAAGCAAAATTCAAAATTTCCTGCCAATTGAAAATGTTTGGTGTGTCCGGCATGCTCATATGACTTTATGCAGTTGCGAGTGCCATAAAACACACACAAAAAAAAAAAGACTACCAAAAAATATGATAC